CTCTTCCTCATTTTGATCTAACTCTTGTTCTTGATCATGTTCTTGATCCTGGCTAGTAATAGGATCATGAGATCTTTTATTATTACTAGTCTCTTGTCTAGTCTTATTTGGAAATACATGTTCAAAGAAAGATGCATTCCAAGATTCAATAATAGTATATACATGCATTTTAGAATGTTCTGATTTATGAATCAAAAACCGATATGCACTACTATTCTTGGCATAACCAATGAAAATGCAATCAATGGTCTTAGGACCTATCTTAATCTTTCTAGGACTAGGAATAGCCACTTTAGCCAAACACCCCCACACTTTTAAGTATTTGTAGAATGGTACTCTTCTATGCCACAATTCATAAGGTGTTTGATTCACTTTCTTTTGGGGTATTTTATTTAAAATATAATTAGTAGAAAGTATTGCTTCTCCCCACAAGTTCTGAGGTAATCCAGAACTTATTAACATGGCATTTATCATTTCTTTTAAAGTCCTATTTTTCCTTTCAGCAATTCCATTTTGCTGAGGTGAATAAGGAGCGATGGTTTGATGAATTATTCCATGTTCTTTACAAATTTCATCAAAAGGTGATTCATATTCACCACCTCTATCACTTCTAAATTTCTTGATTTTCTTACCAAGTTGATTTTCAACTTTATTCTTATATTGAATGAAAGTTTCCAAAGCTTCATCCTTGGTTCGAATTAAATAAACATAACTATATCTAGTATAGTCATCTATAAAAGTGATAAAATATTTTTTCTCACCTCTAGTTTGAATTGATTTAAAATCACAAATGTCACTATGAATTAATTCAAGTGGTTCCGTACTTTTTTCAATTGAATGAAAAGGAGTTTTAGATAATTTTGTCTCAACACAAATTTCACATTTATGATTTGAATCAATGTCAAATTTAGGTAAACATTCCATATTAATCAATCTACGCAAAGATCCATAATTAACATGTCCTAATCTACCATGTCATAAATTTGAAGACGCAAGCAAGTAAGAAGAAAATGTATTATTATTAATAACTGATGGTACAATGGTCATTACATTTAATTTCAAAAGGCCATCAGGCATGTAACCTTTTCCTACATACATCCCATTCTTAATAAGTACAAATTTATCACTCTTAAATACTAGCTTAAACCCATTCTTACTCAACAGAAATCCGGAAACAAGATTCTTGCGAATGTCCGGTACATGCAGCACATTGTCGAGAGTGAGTTTCTTTCCTGATGTCATCTTGAGAACAATCTTCCCTTGCCCTTCAACTTTGGAAGTTGAGGAGTTGCCCATAAAAAGTTGTTCACCATTGTCCACTGTAGAATAAGATGTGAACATCTTTTTGTCGGCACAGATATGGCGAGTAACACCAGTGTCCACCCACCATTCTTTAGGATTTCCGACAAGATTTGCCTCGGAAACATTTGTAGAAAGGTTGATGTCATCTACACCATTGAAAATTTTGTCCACTTCGGTCATATGGGCTTGAGCAGGCTTCTTGCTTGTTCTTCTTTTGCTTTTGCCTTTGCTACGACAATCTTTCGCCCGATGTTCCTCTTTGTCACAGATGTAACATTTACTATTAAACTTGTACTTTTTATTTCCCCCTCCCCCCTTTAGAGCCTTGTGATGAACTTTCTCTAGAAGACTTTCGTTTCTTGGTTTTTGAAGCATGTTCCACCACATTTGCCTTCCATAGGATGCTTACCAGTCCGCTTTTCAGAATTGCGGTTGTCCTTCTCAATCCTCAAACGCACAATTAATTCTTCCATAGAAATTTCTTTGCGCTTGTGTTTGAGGTAGTTCTTGAATTCCTTCCAGCCTTTTGGTAATTTTTCAATCAAGGCTGCAACTTGGAAGGATTCATTGAGAGACATGCCTTCTGCCTGAATGTCATGCAGAATGAGTTGGAAATCTTGAACTTGACTAATCACAGTTTTTTATTCAACCATTACAAAATTCAGGAATCTGCTAACTACAAATTTCTTTGAGTCGGCATCTTCCGTTTTGTATTTTTTCTTCAAAGACTCCCAAAGTTCCTTTGCTGTCTTGATAGGACTCTAGACGTTGTATAATGTGTTGTCAAGTCCGTTCAAGATGTAGTTCCGGCAAAGGAAATCAGCATGTTTCCAGACATCAACCGCAGCAACCACTTGCCGGTCGGTTTCATCCTCTTTCAAGATAGGAGCATCTTCACGGAGGAAACGAGCCAGGTTCAGAGTTGTAAGATAGAATAACATTTTCTGTTGCCATCTTTTAAAGTTAGTTCCTGAGAACTTCTGTGGCTTCTCTCCATGATTTATTGGTACTGTCACCACTAGAGAGGGGGTTGGTGCAATTGCAACCACCACAGTAGTACTTGTTTGGTCATTTGTTTCAGTAGCCATCAATTCTAATTTATAAAACAAAATTATAATTAGAATTTACACTACACAGAAAATTAAATCAAAAAACCACTGAATTTTAAATTCTGTAAAAATAAAAGAAACAAGAATTGTAACTTTTATTTCCAATTAATTTGAAAATAAAATAAAATTTTATTTAAACAAATTAAACCAAAACTACAGAAATAAATTCTGTTAAAATAAAATAAACAAAACAAAATGTAACTTTTATTTTCAATTAATTTGGAAATAAAATAAAATAAAATTTTATTTAACCACATTAATTCCACACAAAAAACTAATCCAAATTCACAGAATTAAATTCTGTAAAAATAAAAGAAACAAGAATGTAATTTTTATTTTCCAATTAATTTGGAAATAAAATAAAATTTTATTTAACCAAATTAATTCCACAGAAAATTAAATTTCTGTAATGCTTCAATAATTAAAATACTGAAACAGAATTTTAATTAATGAAAACTCATAAAATAATTTCTAAAAATCAAAATTAATTTTTGAAAAAATTCCACAAAAATATATTCTGAATTGTTAATGACACCAGTATATTACTACTAGTTGTCAAAGAAAATAGACAATATATAACTACTATTTTTCAAATAGCATATAATCACTATTTGTTTTTCCAACCAGAATATTATTTTGTAAATTCACAGAAAATAATTTCCTTAAAAGAAGAAAGAGAAAAGGAAACAAACGAAAAATTCTGTAAACAGAATAATTCGAATCTGTCTTAAGATTGTTGGAACAATCTTCTGTGTAAATAAAATAATTTGAAACAATTCAAACAAAATAAAATAAAATTTGCAGTATTTATTTTGTAGAACTGAATAAATAATTCAAAGACGAAGTCGAGTGTGTGACACTCTGTCCTTAAGACAGATTCGCCCCGCTACGGTGCTTACGGTTGAGTGGTGTCTATCTCCCAGGACACAATGATCTTAACTAATATGTAGTAGCACTCCAAAACAAATTGTTCGGCGAACCAAACCTGTGATCTAACTCTCTGAATATTTATTCTAAAACTAGAATGAAGAATAAAATGCAAAGGAGAAAATTCTGGACAGGAATATCTATTTTTCAGACTAATTTTTGGATGTAAAAACACTGCTGGAATGTTGGTATTTATAGGCGGCAAACACAGCCTCGAACAGGTACTGTTTTGAATCCAACAGGTGCACTTTTGAAATGAACAGGTACAGGTTTAAATTCAAACAGATCTGCAGCCAGATTTTTGAATCTGTTTGGCAGTTACAAATTAGTAACTGCTGGGCAGTTTAGATGGTGAATTTGTCCGAAATATATAACAGATTGACAGTTAAAAAAACCTGTTCGAAATCTGTAGTGGAATATGGAAGAGGCACAAATTTTGAACAAACAATTTGAATTCAAATTCAAATTTGAATTTTAAATTAATTTTTCTCGCAATAATTTTTGAAAAAATTCAAATGAATTTCATCCAAAAAATTAATACAAGAACTGACCCACACCCGCGCCTGGCCAGACAGTGCGCGCGCGTGTGTGGTGGTTTGGGCTAAGGTTTACTTTGTCCATAACTCCTCCCTTCTACAAACTTGGGGTGCCCCTTGGGGTCCAACCAAAGTATTGTAGGCTAGAGCGTATAAACTCAACAAAACTCTCTTAAAGTTTCAATGTGGGACAAGTTTCACAAGGAGACCCAAATTTAAAACTTAAATGTTTAATTCCACGAACCCGAAAACGACGTCATGTTCCCGTTCGCTCATAAATGGTTTTGACGAACCGTCTTCACCGTGTGACTTGCCACGTGGCAAAGAACACTTCACCTCTTCGGACCCGTCCCAAAAAACGTTTGGGGCCCACTCAATTTTGGGCTCAAAGTCGGCCCAAAATATGGCTATATTAACCATTTTTCCAACAATTGCAACTTTAAACCATGGACCCCACCTATTATACAAAACTCAAAGCCAATAGAACTGTGTCATATTATCTGTTAGTACACTAATTGGCATATCAATTGGTGTGTATAGCTCTATTCTTTAGAGACAGGAGGGTAGCTTTCAGAAAATTGAATTTAGAAAATTGGAACCAAACAATTCCAGAATTAAAAAATCTGTGTTTTTCACCAATTAACAAATAAATTAATTTCATAAGGTAATTATGGTCTTAAGAATATTGACTCACTCAAAAGTCAAAATTTCATCTCTTGTTTGTTAGTTTATGAAAGTACTGAGAACTTGGGAAACAAAATGAAAAAGTAAATTAATAAAGGGCCTTGTTAACTAATGTGTTAAAGATATAAATTAGTAAAATGTAAAATGATATTACAATGCATATCGTTATGAACAATGTACAACCGTTTCAAACTTTTTAATCCAATAACAAATGAAAGGATGTACATTAGAAATAATTCACAAGTGCAATGCAATTGATGGACTGGTAGTTTGAGCTGCTAGACATGTTGGACTTTTTAAAGCAGAGCACTAGCAAGATTTATAGAGCATTATAGCAGATATGAAAGCAGAAACAAAATGCATCAGTTACATATCCAAGAACAACTGGAAACATATATAGTTGTGGTCTTTGAATCTTGACAAATATTCATCATTGCTTCTCTTACTTTTTTCTTGTTTCTCCTTCATTGTCTTTATTGTTGATCTCAATAAACTAAGTCTTAAAATCTTCATCCATCATTTAATGAAGAAATCCACATAAAAAGTCAAAAAAATAAAAAAATAAAAAATGAACCCATGCATAGTGTTGTTTCTTCACTTTCATTTCTAAAAAACAGAAGTAACAATTCCCTCAAACCCTTGATTTTCCCACTGTTGGGGGAATACTGTGTGATTTTTCATATCATCATCACACATCGAGAGCACAACAAACTCTCTCTTCCTCTCACCCATGTTTGGCAGTTCTTCTGTCTCCATATTGCTTATAAGGGTCTTGCATCTTTTGCACATCCATGGCACCAAAAACCCCATAAGCAGCACTACTTTCGTCATAAGGAGAACCGCCACCATTTTCATCATCACTATCCTGGTCTTTTGCCATTAAGCCTTCCTCATATCTGATACTTTCAATTCTCAGTTGCTTTTCTTCGCTCTTCGGATCATACCCTTTCAAAAGTCCAACCACTTCTTTCATGGTAGGCCTCTTCTCGGCCTCACTTTGCATGCATAGCGCAGCCACATGGATCCCTTGTTTCAGTTGGTTTTCATCGAAATTTCCTCTAAGCTTCGGATCAACAAGTTCTTTAAACCTCCCTTTAAGTATCAGTGGCTCAGCCCATTCGGTTATTGTCCTCTTAACGCCACCGGGGAGCTTTTCTATGGGCTTCCTTCCTGTGAGAATCTCTAATAGAAGAATTCCAAAACTATAAACATCACAACTCTCTGAAACCTTTCCCCACATAGCATATTCTGGTGCTAGGTATCCTAAGGTGCCCTTAACACGGGTGGTCATGTGGCTAACACCCTCTGGAATTAGCTTTGCAAACCCAAAATCTGCAACAAGTGGTTCAAAATTTGAATCCAAAAGCACATTACTAGCCTTTATGTCTCTGTGAATGATGTGAGGTGTCACTTTGTGGTGCAGGTACCTAACATATCAGATCAGATAGAAACATTATGTTAAATTTTAAAAATATTTCAGATTTCTATAGCTGCTTGCACATCGTGATAAAAATAAATATTTGACAAATTTAATAAGCTAAAATAAGGATTATGTCATATGGCATGCTCATTTCTAAAGTCAACTTTAGCCACTCTAATGGAAAAGCTAAAAAAGTTATGAATATACCAAACGAACTAACTAATTTTTTTGTAGCATTAACTTTTTTATTAGTTTATTTTTAACTAATAAGCTAGCTTTTTGACACATTCCCAAGGAAGAAATATATATGTATGTATGTATGTATTATTTATTATTATTTTTCATTTCAATTTACAGTTGCTAAGATCTTGAAAAAGCTTCATGTAAACTATCAGCTCAGGGGGGAAAAACAAATCAATTGTATTTTAACAAAATGCCATGAACTATTTTAAGTTATTTGCAAACTATAATATATATATATATATATATATGTAGTAGACCTGTCTAAAATTAACCCAAAATAAAATTATCATGCATGTGACTTTTATTTCCAGAGAAAAAAAAGTTTGTTCTTCTTCTTGTGTATCCAAAATATTTATGATTGTTGTTTGTTTATGAACATTAATTATTATAGGAGGAAATGGACTTACAGAAGGCCTTGTGCAGAGCCAATAACGATATTCATTCTTCTTTTCCAATCTAAGTGGACTTGGCCAGCAAATTGGCCGTGGAGATGAGAAAGCAAGCTGAGATTTGGCATGTAATCATACACAATGAGGCGTTGTTCAGCACCACCTGCACAATAACCCCTTAGCCCCAACAGGTTCTTGTGCCTTACCCTTCCTAGAACTTCAACTTCCACTGCAAATTCCATCTCTGCTTTTGAATTCATTGATTTCAACTTCTTTACTGCTATCTGCATCATGTTCACAAATAAAACAAAAAACAACCGACCAATAATGATCAATAAAAGAAAATTTTACTGGCCAGGTGCGAGTTCTATTAGGTAAAATCAATGGCCAGATGATAAAGAAAATGTCTAGGAATACAAAAATCGATCACAAAACACAACTTTTTCACATGAAGTGGGTCACACCTTTTTTGGGCCCCATATTTACATGAGGGAAAATTATTAGGTAGTTCAGGAGTATCATGTAGTGTAGTGTACGTGATGCTCTTGACAAATGTGAAACTGCACCCTATACTTACTAAGTGAGTCATGTTTTGTCTTCCAAGTTTCAACTACCTAAAAATGGTGAGTCACTATGTCCTACCTGTAAGATTTCATGCTATGCCATTGATTTCGACCACCATGAGGGCAATGCACCATATGGTACTCCGAGAGTATCTAATAATTACACCTATGTTAGAGGATTGTATTCAATTTTGTAATTGGTTTTTGTGCAAGTAAAAGAACATAATGAGAAATGAATGGATGAATAAATATGGAAACAGGATATGCACAGATGAGATGAGCAGAGTAAAGAGCACTAACCTGAAGGCCATCCGCAGTTCTACCCCAGTAGACACTTCCAAAACCTCCTTCACCAAGTTTATTATCCTCACTAAATCCATCGGTAGCTACTTGCAACTCCTTGTATGTAAATATCCTCCATGTACTACTACTGTTTCCTACTGCACCAATTGTCATCCTATACACCGAAGATTTCCTCTTAAATTTTTAGCATGATTTTAGATACATAGATAAACATAATTAAACTCAAAAATAAATATGCAGAATCAAGCAGTAGTTTTAGTATTCATCAGATTCACATACCTTTCATCGACCTTCTCAGAACCACAGCAGCTGGAGGATGATCCCATAGATCCCTCACCACACCACCCACCCTATGGGATTCCAATATTCAGTTTTGGCTTTTGCTTATGGGATTCCCACTTTTTAAACATGAGATCAATGTTTGTCTCTCATTTTGGGTCATTAAAATTTCACATTCATTTTAATCACAGCCGACCTTGGCCGGCTTTTCTCTTTCTCTATATGAATTTATTAAATAGGCAAAACTAAGGGGGACGCAGTCATTAATTGATTAAAGTGAAAATAATAGTAATATTAGAACAAGGTAACAATTTTGAAGAAGATTGAGATTAACCAGTAGTATGTTCAACAAAAATTCAAAGATTGAGATTAACGGGCCATAGAGATCAACCCAATCACTATAACACCTTGGGAGATTATCCCATTTAATTACCTCCATTAAGGAGAGTCAAGGGGAAAAATAAACCAAGAAAAAAGAAAAAGGAAATAAAATTAAGAATGATAAAAAAGAGAATATTGAGGAGAATGCATCACCACTAAGTCAACTGCAACAGAGAGTTTGTAGAAGCACTTAACATGGAATAACTTATAGCAGCCAAAACCACTATTTTTCTCAAACAAAAAAAGTTACAATTTTGCACAAAGAGTTTTCTTTCTGGAACAACAATGGTGACATAAATGATACTCATGCACATATATCTCCTTATATTATTATTTGAGAAAGTGAACCCACTAGATGTTTCCATTAACATATAAATATAAAGTTCAGCTTTTGTCTTCTTGGGTTGGGGATGTTTTGTGGTTGCTACGACTTGTCATGTCCTAATGGATATATTGCATAACCACTTTTAGTTCTTCAAACACTTGCAATAATTTGTCATAGAAATTAGGGTCTGTTTGGAAGTCAACTTTTTAGTGGCTGTTTAGTTAAAATATGAGGTGCAAAAAATTAGTGTTTGAGAATGATTTTGACTTCTATACAAAAACATGCAAATAGTAGAGAGAATGGAAGGAATTTTTGACCTTTTTTATGATTTTATGATTTTTTTTTTGTGACTTTTTAGCTAAGCCAAACAATCCCTTAGAACCATATTTCTTTTTGTCACCAAGGCACTCTTATTTGTGAGCTGGCATAATAGGGGGAAATTTTACTCAAATCAGGGGGAAAAAATTCTGGGATGCACATCACAAAAAATTTGCGGACACCATTCATTTTTGTTTTTTAGTTTATTTTTGTTCTGAAATTTATATTCAAATATTTTATTTTTGTTTGAAATTTATATTCAAACAATACAAATATTCAAATTTTTTCTAGTATGCTTTCTAGTGTGCATAATGGGTATTATGCTTTCTGGTGTGTCCTGCAACTGGTCTGAATTCTTGGCTTCTCAACTGTCTGTTAAACTCTGTTATGCATGACTGTAAGGGTGGGAGGTAGTGTTAATAATAAGGGGGTTGTGGCTTGTGGTTGGCTTCTGCTGTTCTGCACTGGTCTGATGTCATTGATGCTTTGGGTACATCCAGATGTGTAATGGGGCAGCTGCAATGGGACTGCTCCTGGTGTACTGGTTGCACAACTGGGTTTCATTGTTTGAGAGTTATCCATTAGGCTGTTTGAGAGTTATCCATTTGGGAGACTTGGGCAGCTTTTTGATTTCTTCCGAATGATGTCATTTTATTTTACCACCGTCGGTTACTATTTTTGCACTATGGTATGTTATTTATGCCATCTTGAGCTGTGAATCTCTGCTATGTTGTGAGCTTTGATTGAAATTAGTGTTGGAATCTGTTGCTGCAGGATTGGAAGTTTTTGAGGATAATGTTAATTGTTTATTGGTTTATTACTTCTTTGTTTCATGTATCTACGAACAAAAAATATTAATTTTTTGGGAGGGGAATCACTTAATTAGTGACTTTCTTGTGAATTAATTTTCTTGATATTGGTTGTGCTAAACATTTAATATTACAAGTTAAGTTGTTTCTGTTTAGTGCCTAGAACTTGATGATCTTGATGTCATCTATTCCTATACAGTTCTCTTTCACATCAGTGCCTGCTTATTATCATTTACTTTGGTGTCACTTGTCACATGCGTAAATGGTGTTGTAGAAGAATGTGATTTAACTGACGAAAGAAGAGCGAGATTAGAAATGAACTATGTATGCAGTACTTGAAGTTCTTTGAGAGTTTGATATATATTGTTGGACCCATTCGCTATTAGCTTTAGCTTTGCAGCTGATTGTTTTCTTGACACATTATTAACTATGAAACACAGATACTAAAAAAACTATACGTGTACATTGTATACATTACGTGAGTAGAATGCTGCATGTTATAATTACTCAAATAAAAGCTGAATCCCTAATCTGGACACCAATCGATGTGCCACAAGTTTAGTATAGATTACTTTTTCAATGTTATTGTTTTCCCTTTAATTCATAAAAAATTTATGTACTAAGGTAGAATTGTAGTATTTTCTTAGAAATAGTGTATTATATTAGAGATTTTTCTTATCTATTATGTAATACTTAAATTTAATCATGGAGTTTAAACCATATAATGTATTGTACAAGAGATTTTCTTAACCTTCAATAACCAAACTTTCATTATGTATTTGCATGTGCACGTGAAAGACAGTAAAAAATCACAACCAAACCAAACTAAGCCTTATGTTCCATCAAATGGGGTCAACAGGGTAAAAAAAAATCATAACTCATAAAAATTAAAATCTATATAAATTGTGAAAATGAAATCAAAGAAAACAAATAAAAAAAAATGAAACATATCAATATAAAATAGTTCAATTTTTGGAAAAGATATACATGAAAAGTCATATACAAATAATTCAATTATGTGTACCTACACTAAATTGTGTAGTGCTTTTTTATATTAGTATAGATAACTCTTTATATAATATATTTAACTTTTTATTTTGTTTCGTGGTACTTCAATTTAGTTAATTATCAATGGATAAGAGTTAGATGAAGAAGAGTAGATTGTCAAGAGATTATATGCAAGGGATTAAAGAATTTTTAGAGTTTGCTTCTCACAATGTATCTAATGATGGAACAATTTCATGTCCATGTATGAGATGTGTGAATTCATACATGTTGACCCTAGAAGTTGTACATGATCGCTTGGTATCCTATGGAATTAGTCCGGGTTATAATTGTTGGTATCTTCACGGGGAAATTATGTCTGCAACGACTTCTAGTAGAACTAGTCAAAGCCATGAAGAAATACGACCTGAGTATGGTGATATACGTGACATGTTGCGGGACGTGTTTCCCATGCACACCCAAAATATAGATGAATATGCAGAAGAAAGTAATTTACCAGAACCATCTGATCAAGGTCCAAGCATGCAACGACCTCAAGAAGATCCTAATGAAGAGGCACAAAAATTTTACGACTTACTGAAAGATGCTGAGAAGCCTTTGTATGAAGGTGCAAGAATTTTAGCAAGTTGTCAGCAATTGTGCATCTGTATCACTTGAAATGTCTTAATGGATGGAGCAACCACTCATTCACAATGTTGCTTCAAATTTTGAGAGATATGCTTCCTTCAGATGCAAATTTGCCGAAAGCCTCTTATGATGCCAAGAAGATTATTAAGGATTTATGTAATAACCCTCATGCTACCCTAGCCATGCTCATATGCATTCATGTGATTTTGTCTTGTAAGTTGCGTTTCAAGTCTTGTCCTTATTCATTTAAGTGTTATAGCATGTTTTGTACCCCGCTTGGTGTGAGTTTAGCCGAGGTCGTCCTTAGTCTAGAACCTCCTTGGAACCACTTTGTTTGACCTCTACCTTCACCTTGACATACTGGCCGAGATGTCATTATCTAGGTCGAGGTGTTCATCACCAAGGCCGAGGTGTGAATCATCTAGGCCGAGATGGTACCTTTGCACCCAAGTGATCTTGTCCCGGAGTGGTATAACCTAGACCGAGGTGTGGCACATCTAAGCCAAGGTGTGGCACAGCTTAGTCAAGTGTTGTCCTTCCTAGCCGAGGTCATTATTTCCTACTTGCCGATGTCTTGTTATTAGCCGAGATCATTACTCGCCAGAGTGCCCATACCGTCTTGCTTGTTGAATACACTTTGTTATAGTTTTGTCTTGTCACTCAGCCACCTTTCTGTGTAGCACCAACCAGCCGCTGCCACGTGCCTCTGTAGAGGGTTAAGTCAGCTAGCAGACTTAGAAATGTATCATTTTTCTATATGTCTATGTTGTGAGGGGAGAGAAGCTCTAGAAGAGGACGAAGAAGTTTAGAGTGAGAGAGTGGGTTTTCGAGCTTGATTCCTAGAGATCAAACCATTAGATTCGCGTATTGAGGTTAGATTCTTGATTTACTCTTGTCATTCTTATTGATCATCTAGCTGCATTGTATGATCGAACCCGTTTTGCACGTCATGCATCGATTTAAACCTGGTTTTAGAAAGAAAAAATGGTGTTCATGTGTTCTTGAAAGAAAAGTCTTGTTTGATCGGAAAGTTTGCATTAAGTTTCATGTTTTTGTGCTTGTTCTCACTAGATCCTTGAATATGGGTGCCCAGGTCCATGTTTTTGAACTCATAGCATGAAATCTCAGATTTCGTAATAGCAAATCATGATCTTTGCATTCATCTTCCTCATGTTCATGTTCTTTAAGAAAGGGAAACCCAGATTTTTCCCGACTTCATTCCTTTGAATGTGACCATCGAGGCCACACCTCGGCCAGGGGATGTGGAACCTCGGCTTAGACC